AAGTCGATGTGGCTCGTCAGGCGCAGACAACAGCCGACGGATGCCCAACAAGGCAAGTCGGGCCAATCGTCTGCGCGCACCTGCGAGCGTGCGCACTGCTGTCTTCTACGGGGCAACGCTGGACAGCCGCACAGCTGCAGCGTTGGCACGCCGTCGACCTGCAATGTTGGCAGGTCGCTCTTCTGCAGTGCTGGCGCGACTCCTCTACGCAACGCTGGCAGGCGGTCGACCATGCAGTGCTGGCGGTCGACCAGGCTAGCTCCAGAGTTGCTAGGTGCCTGATGTAGTCCATTCTGTCATTGCTTGTTCAATCATTCTGTAATTCCAACTTTGCCTAGTGAAACTCTTGCCGATTTCTCCCGTGTATGCGCAAGCGCTAAGGAACTAAGCAAAGCTACGATCACTCATAGTAGTTCGTGCCTACCCCGTAGTCTAGCTCACTACCATTGTAGAGTGGATCTCCACAATACTTTCACAAAGTTCAAGTTCCATGGGATTGAAATGCCATCGAGTTGTATTATGATAGCCAGGTTGTCTCTTGGTGTTTTTCTCATCAAAGGGGAGAGAATTAATCGCCAAAACAAAGGGTGTGGGTGTAGAAATTAGGATTCCAGGTGTATTCGCAATTTTGCGCGTTGGAATGGCAGAGAAATAGCTTTGTCATACAGTACCCAATTCACCTGATGAAAACTAACCGCCGGCATTTGTCCTGGGCGAACAGTTTTTAGCGTGTTACAGTTTTGTGGGCACTATCGTCGCCGGCAGAGAGCTCAAAGTTCTGCATCCGACGTCGGGATTGACGTCCGCCGCCGGCGTTGTCCTCTCACCCGCCGTCGCTGTGTACAAAACTGAACTCCAACGGTACAGTCGATGCTCAGCCTATCACACACATTTGCTGACTACAAATCGAAAATCAGTCACTCGCGAACGTTTTGCTTGTGAGGGGTGATTGTGCTGATTTCGGGGTACAGTCACCAAGTCGAGGAAGAAAAACATCTACAGTTCATAAACAACAACGGCTGCCTGTCATCAGAATTGTTTACCTGGTTACGAACTTAAACCCCTAAACTCGTTTCCCATTCCACTTTCATTTTACATCACAATTTTGCCCGGGGCGACAATGGCGAATGTGGCGAAAGTGTATAAACTCGTTTCACTCACATGCCGCCCGCCTACCTGGTGTTCTGGAAATGAGCACCGACTGTACAGTGCAGTACGATCTCGCGTCGTAGCTGGGATTTGAAAGCGCTGGTTGCTTGTACAGATGCGAATCGCGATTGTCCCCTCCGAATCGCGACTCGCGACTGGATGCGCGTGTCGCGAATGCGAGGCTCACGCGGTGGATTCCCAAGGGTTGACGTTTTCGCAACAATGTCATCACTGTTTAGTTCGTCGTTTGTCCTTACAGTACATTCACCATGCAAAAAATGAAGGCAGGGCTGTGGGCCCCTTACGTCGGGTTAGCTGCAGCACATTCAACTCGGTTTTACACGTATGTTGTACTGTACACGTACAGCGTAGAAAAAGCTGGGCAGAAAATGTTTCTGACATAGACAGACGCTGAATATGCTACTGTACCATGAATGCTGGTTGTTTGGTGTTCAGTTCCACACCCACTTGCATTGCGAACCTGTCCTTTCCTCAATCAAGCTCATTGCCGTTGTCATCAGAACAGAGCAATCAGGGTTTGTGTTGTGGATCGCATCCTTTCATGTCGGGATGTGAAGCGGAATGATGCCTTCCGCCGGCGGTAGTGTAGCCACGCCCACTTCCCGCCAGCACCAGGCATAACACCGCGCAGTCACACCCAATATGTGGATTGTATCACCGCACCACACCGCATTTCATCCATTTTTTGTATGCTTCAGTAAAAAGGCATACAATCATAACAGTTGGTACCACTCATTCCGTGTGATTTTGCACCATCTCACCAAGACCCACAAGGTGTTTGCTACTGCGACTGAGTATAAATTCATCAGTACGTAACTGATTCAACATTTTTTTGCACCTACTAGACACTATCCTTTCGATCATCATGGAGGGTACACCAGCAGCACCATCGCGAAACATAGCACTCCCACCAACGCCGGATCAGCTGCTGCGGGAGATAGAAGATGCACCGCCGCCAAAGCAACGCATCGAGGCCCGCCTAGTAACCACTGTTGCAGGCCGTTCGGCGGAGGACGGCGACGTTCAGAGGTCGGACAACCACCGTGATTACCAACCTCATCACCGTAGGTGTCGAAGCGGCAGCGGCAGCGGCAGCGTTATAGAGGCCGTGGCGGCTGCATTCCCTACTCCAAGTCCCCCTACCACTACCGCCAGCACCAGCTGTACTAGTAGTACTACTCGCAAGGAATTTTTTCGTGGCGCCATGGAGGAAATGGCTCGCGCGGTGCACGGCACGGACGGGCACATGTGGCTCAAATACGGCCAAAAGCAGCTCGCGCGTTTCCCCAGCACAATCAGGTCGGTCGTATGGGATGATCATGGCATGATAATTGGGATACTTCCAGAAAAGGTTGGCTGACCATCTGAAAAAAAATGACAGTAAGATTTGTGAGCCCAACTGAGTTGGTTCTCTGACTTTTCGCAGGTATGGCATGCATTCTACAGACTCTCATATTTAACATCATACATGCATCCCAGATCCAATAGAAACCCCGAAACATCACATATACGGGGGCTGATTTGGGTAAGCAGCAGGCGATGAAGCAACAGAGTTGAGAAGCAGCTTTGTCTAGAACCCTGTGCTACCCTCTTGTCTGAGACCCCTCTCATATGGTAATCAGTACGAATCTCTGCAGGAACTTTTTTCACTTTCTCCTGTCACTTTGCAGGTGCTATTATCGCTGCGCTTCGTATTTCAGCACCAAGTGTGCGATGAAGAAGACAGTTGACATGGACATGCGCAGACCGCTCTCCCCGGCTACCGTCACCATTGCGTACAGCGGCGGCTCCCACAACCACCCTCAGCCTCCACATGATTTGCAGCGGCAGCAGCAAATGGAATGCCCTGCCAAGTCAGACGCAAGCATGAGGGAAGACGGTGGAGTGGAAGCAATGTGCCTTGCTGCTGGTAGCACAAGCGCCGAGGCAGGAGATAGAGAAAGCGACGGTCAGCCGCTACGTCAGCCACCACTTCCCGCTTCAGAAAAACTCTTCCCAGCTGGGACGGTGAAGGGACCTCCTTGCAAGGTTCTGCTTTGCGATTCACCAATCACCACACCGCAATCACACCTGTTTGTGCCTCAAGTTACCCACCAACTGACACAACTGACACCAGTGGCTTCTGTTCCATCTCCTTGTGGTTTCACACATCATGAGAGTTATGATGGTGGTGTTAGTGTTACTGGTGGTGGTGGCATCGACGGCGGCGGCGGTTGTAGTGGTGGTGGCGGTGCTGCTGCTGCTGCTGCTGCTGCTGATGGTGCTGCTGCTGCCGCTGCTGCTGTTGCTGCTGGTGGAAGTGGTGGTGGTGGTGGGGGTGCTGCTCTTTCTGCTGCTGCTGCTGGTGCTGGTGCTGCTGCTGGTGCTGGTGCTGGTGCTGCTGGTGCTGCTGGTGCTGCTGCTGCTGCTGCTGCTGCTGCTGCTGCTGCTGCTGCTGCTGCTGCTGCTGCTGCTGCCGGTGGTGCTGGTAGTGGGGGTGAGGGTGGTGGGGATATTAAGTCTGGGTGGACCCCACCTGCTCAAACGTCACCCCTGGAGCCGTACCTCACTGAACCTGCAATGCTTCCAGATGTGTTTGATTGCCCAATTTCTGGGAGTGGATCTGCAGACTGCATCGATATGGCCGAGTGGCCATTGACTGACCATATGGAACAGCTGATGGTGCTGCTAGGAGAAGAAGTGGCAGGTGGGACAGGTGAAGAGTTACCACAGGCGATAACGGAGATAAATCAGGAGCAGACTTGTGAGGCCTGGCAACTGCCTGACAAACCGCTCATGGTGCCGACAGGACCAGCCGAATCCCCGCAAATGTCGTTACTGACTGCTGCTGATGCAACAGCACCAACTGCTGTGGCTGTGTCCTCCGTACACCAAGGGTGGTGCGGCCATGACACGCACTTCCAGACAGACCCTTTTTCATGTGAACCTGCTTACGACAGTCTCCTGGCGGATACCCTATGGACAACGCCCAGATGGGAGGCAAGCACCCTGCTGCCACGTGTGTCCCCTGCCCCTAATGCCACCAACAGCAGCTGTATGCAAACAGAGCTGGAGCCTGAGGTGCTTGTGGGCCAAGAAACGCATTCTGGAGGAATTTCTGGGGCTGGGCAGAGACATTTTTCGTGTGTGGGTGTGGAGGGAGAGCAGCAGTCCGGGTCGGGGATGGAACAGACTGCTCCCAGCAGCGGCACTGGCACAAGAAGGCAGGATGGCGGACGGAGCAATGCAGAGGGCCACTGTTTGGACGATAGGAGATGATGTGCGCAAAACAAGAGGAGATATCATCTCTATAAAGGTCTCACCCCAACCTGACCCAGATTTGACTTCGAGGTCACCTTGGAGTCACGCGCGTAGGTTCTGTTGGGGTCCCAGGGTCCGTCAAGTTGGGATCACTCGAACCAGACCCCAACCTCACCTCGCATTCAACCCAGGGGTGACGCGCCGGTCAACACTGTTTATCCGAATCGCGTTTCCTCATTAAAGGGTTCCGTTACATGTTAAGAAAATCATTGGACTGTACATATCACAACTAGCTGACTATAGAAGCAAATCTTTCCCCCCACCGATAGAGGGCCTCTTTAACAGTTATTAGCAGCATCCAACTACAGTATTTCTACCGTACTATTCCGTACGTGAAAAAACCACCGTAAAAAAAACGCCAAATACACCGTACACATCCTGTCAAAAATGGATCACCATTGTAGCACCGTATGCGCCAACTTTGACACTTCAACACTACAGAAACACATCCACATCCATAACCCAAACCAAAAACCTAACCACCGCATGCAAAATATGAGCCAGGTCCAACACCCACCCATAATCACTGGTCATGCTTCCAGCCAGAGGGACTCTCTCACATCAATCGAGTCCACAATTTTAGGAATAAACTCGGAGAACCCACTGCTGTTCACGTACAGCCCGTATTCCCCCCACCGGAACGCCCCCACCTCCTCATCATACCACACCCCTTGGCTAATTCCCAGCCATTTCTTGACGACCTTCCACACCAGCTTTGCAGCTTCCTTCATTCCCTTCTCATGCTTCACGGGGCCCCCAGAGAAACACATAGCCTCTGTGTCCTGGTTGGCCAGGCCATAGTCCAGCTGCTCATGTCAAACATCACCACACAAACAGGGCGAATTAGACATCTCAACCCACACCGAGAGTGCCCGTAGCGCAAGCATAAGCGGTCTCACCGAGAACATCACCCATGCGATGTGATAGGGCACCAGTACGATGATCCCGTCCATCTCCCACTCCGGATACGCCGCCACACATGCCTCAAAGAAGACCTCGCTCGTGAACGGTCGACGATCCATCGGCTCATGGCTCCAGTTGGGCACATCCTGACTAACGTTCTCCACTGTCAAAAACCCACCCAAGTGAGACGCAGGGAATTGGAGGGCGGTAGATGGGGAGAAGGTTTACAAGAGGTCATGCAGGTGGTGGGATGGGGATCCACCCACATCAACATCAGCTTTCGATCATCCAACGCCCCACAACGACCAAGTAGCCCAACACAAAACAGGAGCGTATAACCCAACCCAGGTGTAGCATGACAGGGGGAGCTATGACTGCGTGCAGGGCCATGACCAAATGGGGGGGAACGCAACGACAGTAAACCACATGACACGACGCAAGCCAGGGCTGCTCGAAACCCGAGGGCAGTGTTGGAGGCATGGCGGAAGCACATACAGGGTGCGTATCGGTCGTACAGCTCCTCCTTCACCTTAACCGGTAACTCGATTTTGAAGTAACCGGTTGCATCCACTTTAATGTCGAGGCCATCGATCAACGTGCGCCTCGCAATCGCGGACGAGTCGGTCCTGAACTTCGCCCACACCTTGTTGATCCGCAGGCTGTAGTTCTTGTCCTCCATCATCACTACAACGTCCTGGTAGCACACGTCGTAGTCCCTCCTCAGCACTGTCTTCAAAGCGTAACAGCGACTGCTGTGGTTGGGGAAGTAGGTCACTCCACGCGCCCGACACCTGCGTAGCAATAGGGCCATAGCCAGCTTCGCATATACCTGCAGACGCTCAAAACCACTCCCCGGGAGACATAACATGTGGCATGCGGTTAAAACGCCCGCCCAACATTGCATAAGCCTGATTATACGATGGTCTCCCAAGGTTCAGCGTGACTTCCCCCACACCAGGGTACCCTTGCATGCCCAGCAACCCCGCCACACAGGCCCGCGTGTTCATGCACGGAACTACACTCACATGAATCCGCTCGGGATTGGGGAGGCCGCACTTCCTGGCGCGGCTCTGACAGTCCGGATCAAAGTCCACGACCACCGAGATGTGGTCGTCACCACGGTCCCGCTTCAGCCTACGCCAGTTTTTGGCTCCATTGTCTCGTGCTCTGCGGGCGGTGAGGTGTTGAAAGGGGGTTTGGGGGTATATTACATCAAACCTCATAGATGCACCTCGCCACGCCCCTGCAACCGTCATACAAGCCCAGTACTTACCCTTCATTGCTCACTGTATGCCCCGGGCGTGGTGCAGTGACCTGCTCAAGTGGGTTTTTCCACAACCCACGATTGAGTTCCTTCGTCCGCTCGCCCGGGGCGGCCGAAGGGAGATCAGGGTTTACACCCGGCCCCGGAACGTCAGCCACCCCCGCGAGTGGTGTTGTACGGCGTGTCGCCCTCCCAGGTTCCGCGCCAGAATAGGTCGCCCCAGCTGCCTGCTTCTCTCCCCCAATGTCGCGGGTCAGTTTCCCGCGTGCCGCGCCCTTCCCATCACCGAAAGGTGCAGGTGCCGCCCTCTTCGCCTCCGTGTTCTCATTGCCTGCCATCGGCGACGTTTGAAGCTTCTGCAGGACTGCCAGCAACTCTGCCGCTGCTGCCGGGTTGCCCACATTCTTGAGGACCGGCCCCTGAGCGCCATTCAGCACGCGCAAGAGGAGCTGGGAGATCACACTCAAGTCGACGCCAGCCGCGCAGTCCGCTGCCTCTACATGCGTCCCGTCGGTCCCGTCGTCGGTCGCGCCCATAGCGGAAGGTGCGGAAGTGCCTGGGAGACCTCTCGGCGGGGTGCCTGCACGGCTCATAGGAGACCCGCGGCCAGTCGCTTTGGGCGCCTCTTGCTTCAAGGGTGTCTGCACGCTGGCCGTGCAGAGGTTTGCACTCCCTGTTGGGGCGGGCTTTGACTTCTGCAGGGGGGCAGAATGTGACACTGGATATGAGCCAACAGCCTTGTCCGTCACCTCAACGACGTCAGCTCCTTCATCGCCCCCCACACTCTGCCCGTCGCAGTGTTGGTCACCATTGTGCGCAGGTGATGCTTCACTGTTGCATCGATTACGTCGTGGGCCATATACATTGACCGCCTTCTTCCGGCCGGACTTCCCTCGTGGTGTTTTCTGCCGCACGCACTTGATCGCGTCCATAGGGTCCCTCGCAGCAGTCCGCGCCTGACTCTTGCGCGTGCCACGACCGCGACGCTTTCGAGCGTCGTGTTTACCACCCGATGTCTGTGTGCCTGCACGTTCCGTCACAAAAGCATGGTCAGATTCAGAATCGGCCTCAGATAAGCCATCTTCAGGCCTCGGCGTCCACTCTTCATCGCTGGATACCGAAGGGCTCCCGGACTCGCTTTCCACCCTTACAGACGGTGATGCTTCACCGTCATCAGAGTCGGGCTTGGTGCAAGACGAAAACACTTCCCCGTGTAGGACCGAGTAGTAATGGAGCCACGCTTCCGGCGTCACTTCGCCGCTGTGAGGTCCTCCAATTTCAGTGGACTCCGAACCCATTCCATGGTATTTATGGCCACCTGCATGACCGCCCCTTGATATCGACAATTTAGTAAGATTACAAACACAACAGCGTCATGGGCGACACTACTGTGCATGACACGGAAATGCACATCAAACGGCACAGCAAAGCTGTTTAACTAGACGAACCCTACGGGGGCATCGCTCACCCGGCACGGGAGGTATGGTGTCCTCCAAAGGGCTGACGCCGCCCTCCTTAGTCTTGGCTCTGTCTAGCTTCTTCTGGGCACGATGCTCAGCGTGCAGCCAATCCACAGACTCTCCGTATGGGTGCGTCGCCGGTTTCGTCCTGGTTCTGGGCCACGGGGATGGTATATGTTGCTGGATCCAAACGGTGTCCGCTGGGCAATGGGTTCATATGCGTGAAGTCGAAGACAATGCGCCGGGCCTCCTCGACGTCTATCTTCCAACGTCGGTCGGCGGCCCGCGATTTCACACTCGACTTCACGAAGTCCTCCGACTTCACAACATATGCTGGTCTCCGCACCCGAGAGCCCTTCTCTCGCGTCGTGACAGCGCTGCCCGCGCGGCTCATACTGACTTAAAGCAAGAACAATTAGGGAGGGTTTGAAGGTGGCGAAGTTCTGCGGCAAACAATGTGACCAGTCCCAACCTCTACTAGCCGTAGATATGACAACTGACAATCCACGGATAGGCGCAGTGCCCGGCACTTTGGCCGTAAACCCCCCCTGTAGGTGATGGCTGGTTCAACGTGAAGTCCCATGTGTTTCACCCATGGCTGACAGCCTTGGGATATACAACGGGTGACGTGCCCAATCAGGACGTTTCTGCCTTTGGGCTGAAACCACTCGTTGAGTTTGGAAACCCATTGTTGGAAATGACGAACCCCGCCAACACCACACATCTTTAGGCTCGGTGCGACGCCGTCGTTTTCAATGCCTATCGGTGTGTGCTAACGAGCCTGCGATGACGAGGCAATCGGATAACCCAACCTGATAGCCTGGGAGGAACGGTCCGGGATGGCGAACTTCCGACTTCGTCGTCTCGAGCTTAGTCTGCAATCTCTCTTCTGGGATGGACCGAAGTGAGTGCGCGGTATCGTCCTAAACAAACTGCATGTCTTCACAACGATCACGACACGCTTGGGGTTTGGTTACCCGAAAATTGTATCCCGTCGCGCAATGTTGCACCCCATTACATCCAACGCAGAATCCTCCAAGGAGCAAAACTTGCACGAACCACGTCCACACCTGGTGGGAGTCCCTGGAAATATGTACCACGTTACAGTCCATCACCCATTTCTCATTTTATACCAGTACTCTCTATCGCCAAGTACTCCATCCAAGCTACCGCCATGGCTAAGCACGACAACGAATCGGTCTGTGCTGCAACAGAAGCCTTTACCAAGTACAGCATACCCTACCCTAATAGTCGCGGTTATCTAACACTCGATAAACGGGAGGCTATGACTCTTGAGGCAGAAGGGTGGCTGTCGGGCGAGATCATTGAATGGTTCGGAATGTGAGACCCCATTTCACTTTGCCAGCGCTCTCCACTTTCCGTTGACTCGTATATACCAATCCTAATGAGATGTAAAACCCGTGTTTCACGCAGACTGCTCCAGTACAAGGCTATTGAAGAAGAAAGACTGTGGATCTACTGTGGCACCTTTTTCTACCCTCTAGTCAGCCAGGCAGACGCGTCGGCAAAGTCGGTGAACTACGCCGCCGGGGAGAACATCCTTTCGTACAGCTGGGCTCTCATTCCGCTGCACCTCAAGTATGCTCATCTACTTTGCTTTCCCCGCCGTGGCACCAAAGGAGCAGTTGACGCCTCACGCTTTTATGTATCTTGCGCAGAGACCATTGGAGCCTCGTCATCCTGGACAACGACAGTGACAGGAATCCGAACTACATACCAAAACCCACCCGCATCCTGCACGCGGATTCCGCGAGCATGCATGAAGGTTTCCACGCCCCAATACGACGGTGAGTTGTGCCATTTTACATTTGACCATGGTAATATCTACCACGCCGATGATCACGCATGCTCAATCATCTTCAACCCCCTTCAGGTACCTCAAACAGCAGCTCAGGGCATACCGTGTCGAGAGAATTAGGCAAAAGAGAGAGGGTTGAACTAGCAAGAATGGGGATACAAATAGCAAACCCTAGAAGGGTTGTACTCGCTACAGAGCACCCCACTGCAGGCTAGACAAATATAACATTCTGACATACCGCACCTGGGTGACTGATGATCAGGCAGATACATGGGAGGCTGGGCTGACCTCTAGAAGCCTCGATGTGAGTGATGTTTGCACCCATTATCTGTTAGCCAATCACATTGCCTCTGATGCCCACGTCCAATGCATTGACTCCATGATGCAGGTGCCTCAGCAGCCCAATGCATGGGACTTTGGAATCTATGTAATCAAATTTATGCAGCATCTCGTTGAAACCGGGTTCAAGAATCCGGAATGCATTCTGCTGTATGGATCATCCACGAAATGGCGTGAGGAACTGCAAACATACTTTCTACTGTGGAGCAATTACTATAGAGAGCATAAAACTGGTTGTTAGTTCTTGCACGAAATTGCTGAAATCGTGATTACGCTAGGCTGTGTGTGAACAATGGCCTGTTGAACAATTTAACTGTTCAGAGCGCGATTTTGACACAGTCCCCTTCAATAAAGGTTTATACTCCATCAGGAAACACAAGCACACTGTATATGTTAGCATACATGAAAATCAAGTACACCTAGGACGGTGCACAAAAGCGAGTACAACACTTGCCAGGTTGGCTAGCGCTAGACCTATCAGTGCCAGTTTGGGGGTTTGAAACCCCAAACAGGCTCTCTTGACCTCGTCAGTTAGGCTGTAGCCACCAAACACTAACTGCTTAGCCATGGGAGATAGGGAACCGTCGCCCGAGAAGTCCACTTCAAACGTCGGCGACTTTGTTAAGCGTGATGGCATCTGGGTGTTGCGCGACTACCATTTCTGTTCACCGTTAGGATGCGGCCGGGGCGGGACTCCCCCATTGGCGGGTGACGGAGAGCATGAAGCGCGCGTGGACGAGCCTGCAAACCACTTCCGTCGACCTTCTGCTTTTTGCGATATCATCGACGACGACACGGAGGACACCGATCCCGTCGGAGCACAGCAGGGTGACCCTGTCGCGAGGACGATCACGGGACACGCCGGTCAGTCGTTGTACCTGCGGCTCTCGTTAAGAGCCTTTTAACCAAATGTTTACTAATCGATTAACCATGAATTTACTTTGTCGTGCACCATGACAGCTGCAACGCCCGACAGGCCGATCGCGACGGCAGGTGTTCCATGCAGGTCGCCTGCTATGCGCGACTCTCCACGACCTCGAGTTAAGGGCAAGCATCCCGCTACTGCCGTAGGCAGAACGGTCTATGGTAAGGCGACAATTCCCTCCGGAATATCGCATGTTACACTCGACCTTAATACTAACACTCATGCATCTGTCTCAACGCAGGTAATTTGCACCCCAAGAAAACCGTCTATGCACGGTCTTCAGCGTCGCTACACCCTGCGGACCTTGAGGAGTACGACGTGAAAGAGCATCATGGACATCACCATCGTCCCTCAGCTCCAAATGGCAACATGGAGCACGCCCACAGTCCCCCTCTAGGGGGGGATATCAATCCGGACCCCTTGGTAAAATCGAGCGCAAAGTGCCAAATAGTAATTACAGTCATCGTACAGGACGACATGGTTCTAACCGTGCCTGGTGGGACTTTTCTGCAGGGGCAACATTCTCGGCAATGCCATCTCCAAATGGAAGGACGCCGCGGCGGAGTGCCAGGCCGGCACGGGAGTCACCCAGGAGCGTGTCTCGCCGGCCTCAAGAGCATCCTGCTGCCGCACCCTCGACATCCACTATCCGCAATGAGGATGCGGTGCAGCCCAATGCCGCACCGGGTGCAGCACTGCCAGGTGAGCGTCGCGGTGATCCACCACTGTGGTGCTCACTGTCGATTGACCACACGCTGTTGGCTAATGTCTCTGCCGCAACTCCATGCAGGCATCACCGAGCTGACCACTTTTGACGCGCTGGTGATGTATATTCAGACATCTTATGAGTTGTTGCCCACTCAGGTCGCCAAGCGTCATCGCAGCGAAAGTTAGTGCCACAGCTCATATGGGCGTGATAGCTGCTCTGTTTTATTTATCTTGCAACTCTGAATGCTGGCATGGCTGGTGGCCTATGACATGAGCATTGGAAAGTTTCGTACGCGTGTGTCCGTGGTGCTAGTAACTTCCATTCGCTTTGCTGCATGATAA